GGTAAAAATGTTGAAACTGAGACTTTCCTACTTGGGGCACATCATGAGAAGGCAAGGCCCTCTGGAAAAGATAATAATGCTGGGAAAATTTAAAGGCAGTAGGAAAAAAGGCAGACCAGATATGGACTGACTTCCCTAGTGGTCAGTTCTGATCATTTCTGAAGGCTCTTGCCCGATTTGTTTGCTTTCTACTTTGATTTGCATTTCCGAAGGGTCTTGCACAGTTTGTTTGCTTTTCTTTTCTCCCCTTTGGCTGGAACGGATTAATCATGTTTCCGATGGGTCTTGCAGGGTTTTGTGGGTTTTTGGTGATTTTTTTCCTTTGGCCGGAACGGATTAATTGCATTCAATGCATTTCTATGGGAAATGGTGCTTCGACTTATGACCATTTCGAGTTACGACCGGAGTTCCTGAACCAATCAAGTTTGTGAGTCGAGGCACCACTGTATAGCCTCCCCCCCACATACCGCCTCAGCTTGCCTAACCCAAGGAAAACGTTTAGAAATTAGAAAGTAACTTTCTAGTCTGCATTTTGCAGAGCAGGCAAAGCCACAATAGTTTGTATATGTTGCAGTTATTCACATGTTTTGTTCACCACTTCATTAAGTCCAAATCAGCCCTGCTAAATATTTTGGTGCAAAAAGACTGCAGCCCTGTCTTGGTTCTGTCCTCCCCCAGCAACCATATTACAAATGATGTGATTATTTTCTTGGATCCTCTAGCTCTGGGCAATTCTACATGAGGGAAGTTGCTATTGGAATTTGCATATAGTTTAGGTAAGAAGGGTTGTCACATGTCAGAACTGACTTGATGCCAGGTGATTATTTAAATTGACATTTTAAAAAAATTAAGAAATTCAGTTCTTTAAAAACCCTCCAGTTTATGTGGGACATTCTGCTTCTGTATCCATGACTCAAAACACCAGTGAATGCACCTATCTCATGAGATATCCTGTAGACCATCTTGACTGCTGACATGTGTGTCCTTAATATTCAGACTACCTTTTGCTATGCAAACTTTGTCATCCTTTTTTCCTACTGACAAAGTGAGCATTATACTGTGCCACAATACCTGGCCATTTCCTAGTGTTCTGAATTGTGATACAAAGGCACAATAACCCACATTTATAAACTGGAGGGTTAGTTGTTGTTGTTGTTTTAACAATTGAATTTATATGCAGTACTTGATCATCTAAAAGTTGGCTTGAGCTTTATGAGACCTTGAATTTTCAAGTCTTGAGTAAGGACTAACATGTGCATTTTCTTCAAATGTGAATTTGAGTGAATATACGGGCCAGTTTAATTTGTACCACCTAATGTCTGCCTTTGTGCCTTTCATAAGGAGCCACTTTGGCTCAGATCACTCTCAGTGAACGTGCCTTTTTGCAAGACGTCTACCATCAGCCTTGTCTAATCACAACCTTTGGAATCTTAAGAACATTCCACTCATTGCTAGAGTGAAGTTGGAAAGACCCGAAACTCCCACTTTTGATATATTTGAGAATGGCTTAAGTCCATCGATACTACTTACAACAGTATCAGTGAGCAATTTTGGACTTGCCAACTGTGCTTGGACTGCAACTCCCACCAGTCTTAATCAGCATTACCGTGCTGAGGAATGCTGAGACCTGCAGTCCAAAACAGCTGATCAATGAAGCCATGCACAGTTTTATGTACTTTCTAAAGATGTAAAGCAAGGTAAATGTTGTGGTGTTGGGACCATATTGTCCTTTTGAAGACAGCTGGACCCTATTTGCAGAAAGCTGTTTTCAGAACTGCCAGTCTTATAGTTTAGCTGTGAAGTAAACCATAACAAATTGGGGAGGGGGGCAAGTTAGGAAGAAAGAATAATGCTTGTTTAACACAGGATATCTTCTAGTTATAAAAATAAATAAGTAAAAAACATGTGATTCTGAAAGAAATAGCATGCTTCCCCCTCCAATTTCTATAGCTTGCCTGTACTTTCAGCTACATTTTCCTCTGCAAATCAGGTGAGTGGCACTTGTGGGAAAACAATGTTTGATTATTGATTTGAGTTATAGTGTTGGGGTAGAGCTTTGCATGGTTTGCCAGACCCCCCCCCCCAAAAAAAGCAGGTGCTAGACAAAATCAAACCTGAACTGTAGTCTCTAATCTGAGACAGACTATCATCATCTTTGGGCACATTGTAAGAACAGAGGATTCACTGGAAAAGACAATATTCCAAGGAAAAATTGAAAGCAACAGGAAAAAGAGGAACATCTAACTTTGGACAGTAAACTAATAATCATGTGTCATCAAATCAGTTCTGATATAGATTAATTTGATTAAAAAACACACAGTTTGTGTGTGAATTTGTAAGTCTAAGAAGAGTTGTTAATAGTCGGGCCTTCTGGAGGTCAGGGAGTCATAGAGTCGCAATAAATCAGAAGCAAACAAGGCTGCATGGTGGTAAGTTCTGATCATTTACATAAGTAGTGTTTATTACTAAAAACACAGTATGTTTGCCTGTATACATTAAAATTTAGGATTCCAAGGAGGTGGGGAAGTGCTGCCTTGATCTGTTCTGCTAACCCTTATAGTCTGGGATTAAGTACATTTCATTTAGTACCATGGTGCCAACATTGGGTCCCCAGATGTCCTTAATACTAAAATTTCCAAAAGCCTTCAGCATTAGCTGTGCTGGCTAGGATTTCTGAGAGTTGTCATCCAAGGTTGGAAACCACTGATTTGGTTGGAGATAGAATTGATGCTTTTGAATTGTGGTGCTGGAGGAGACTCTTGAGAGTCCCCGGGACTGCAACGAGAACAAACCTATCCATTCTGAACGAAATCAAGCCTGAGTGCTCACTGGAAGGACAAATCCTGAAGCTGAGGCTCCAATACTTTGGCCATCTCATGAGAAGAGAAGACTCCCTGGAAAAGACCCTGATGTTGGGAAAGTGTGAAGACAAGAGGAGAAGAGGACAACAGAGGACGAGATGGATGGACAGTGTCACCAAAGCTACCAACATGAATTTGACCCAACTCTGGGAGGCAGTGGAAGACAGGAGGGCCTGGCATGCTCTGGTCCATGGGGTCACAAAGAGTAAGACATGACTTAACAACTAAACAACAACAAATTTGCATTCAAATCACAACTCACATTAAATAGTTATCAATTCAGTATTCCTTCCTGATTTATTCAGCATTATTTATTGGGGTTTCAGTACAATTTTAAAAAAACTTTTATTGAAGTGTTAAGACCTGAGGACTGTATGGGAAGGCTTCCAAGGCACTTAAACAGGCTTTTGAATTTGGAAAAGAGCCATTTTTAATCCCTGGTTTAGAGCTTTTTAAATGCTTCTCTTTTCTTTATAATCCCTTCCTCGTACAGTTTGCTTTGTTCTTTAGTCTGTTATTCCTGTTGTCTATTTGATGTCAAAAGAGACTGACTTTAACCAAAATGAATAGTTCAGTTGATTATGGATATACTGTAAATTTAAGTCTGAAGGGAGCTATTTTGCCTTTAAATACGTACACAAACCAGTGGATCAGGAAAAAAAAACCTGTATGTACAATTTTTCACTATGTAGAATCCCTGTCTACTGATTTCACATGCAAAAGCTTTAAAATCCAAAATTGTGGAATGTTGTTAGAGTGTTTGTGAGAAGCAGAAACAGCAACTTTCACCTGGTGGGCCAGATATTGCTGAACATAGGTTTCCATATTGCCTACCAGCTTCTAGACTGCCCTTTCCCCTAATCAGTGACTAGGGATAAGAAATTATCTCTAGCCTGCCCTGTGAATGTAGGTCTTTCAATATGTCAAGGAGGACATTTTGAGGCAGAATCACAACAGGTGGGGGTAGAGCCTTCCTGAAAATTACTTCCTCTACTAGCATGGCTAGTAGCCATGTTGTTTGGGAAAATGTTCAGAAATGTAGGTAGGTAGGTAGGTAGGTAGGTAGGTAGGTAGGTAGATAAAGAAAGAACTAACTAACTAACTAACTAACTAACTAACTTTTGAAGGCTTTGTACAGGAAAACAGATTACAGAGAGCCAATGTACTGTGATAATTGGAATATTTGTCTATAATTTGAAAAACTGGGGTTCAAACTCCTGGTTGCCACAAAACTTCGGGCCAATCACTCTGCTTCTCACTCTGCCCAACTCAAATAAATGGAGTAAGGATAAAATGGGAAGGAAGAGATCCACGTATGCCACCTTGAACTCAATAGCAGAAAGGCAGTAAACAAATGGAATGAATGAATGAATGAATGAATGAATGAATGAATGAATGAATGAATGAATGAATGAATGAATGAATGAATGCATGAATGAATGAATGAATGAACAATAGCGCTAGGAGCCTGAGGAAAATCATTCCATTTCTCATAAATCTTGTCCAGCACATTTATACCAACTTTTTATTATATGTCTACCTTGGAGATAAATATGGATGCCCAGAAGCAATCAGGCCCATCTATTTATGTCATAGGGTATCCAGTGTGGTGTAGTGGATAGAGTTGATGGACTAGGACTCTGGAGACCAGGGTTCAAATCCCCACTTGGCCATGGAAACTCACTGGGGGAGTGGAACTGGTAAAACCACTCCTTAAATTACTCATTCTCTTCAAAAAAAGTAACTTAATCTAGAGAGCCCCACAGCATCAACCAGGACAAGTTTCACCAATCTTCATTCCAACCATCGCATCTTCAGATTGCCAGAATATGACTTTTGCAGATTTATGTCCTGGCTGCAAATCAGTGCACACAACATATTACTTGTCTGTTACTATTCCTCATTGATATCATGGAGCCAAAGCTTACATAATTGCAGCTGAATATTGATTCATTGATGACTGATTCATTGACTGACTGATTGGATCTTATTCTGTCTCATACCCCAAATTGCCTTCCTCCTTTTATTCCTTCTCAGATTTGGGAGCAGGGGAGGGATTTTTTTAAGACTACAGCTCACAGAATCCTGCAACTGGCAAGTATGTTGGCCGGCTAGGGATACAGAGAGTTGTAGTCCTCATAGTAACTTTTATTATTCTTCTTATTTATTCATTACATTTTGCACCCCACTTTCCCACTAAAAAGTACTCAAGGCATCTTGCAGTTTTCATTAAACAATAATAAAAAAGGAAAGATAACTTAAAAGTAATGTCACAAAATCAATTAAAACCAACCCGAACATGAAGTTTACTTTGAAACAGTTTAGCCCTCCCTGTATTTCCCTCTGATGCTTTCTTTGTCCTATTCAGATCAATTCCTGTCCAGTTCATGGATTTGTCATTGAATGTCCATTGTTCTCATATGGAGTAGAATTCCTCCCACTCTGCTTGATTATCTGCAAGCTTACAAACAAATTTCCAGTTTTAATGTGCTTTCAATCCTTTGTTTACATACAGGTTTCAATATATTTGTACATTTTTTAAAATATTGTAATGACTTACTGTTTTAGCTTTTAATATTGTTTCTTCTAATACTGCAAGTTTCCTTGGATCCTTTTAGGAGGAAGGGGCATATAAACAAACAAAAGTAAGACAATTAAAATCAGTTGACTTTCTTTTCCTTCTCCCTCTCAGGCACATACCTGTTTTTTCCTCTCAGTGAGACTCCAAACTCTGAGGGATGTTTCATTGATAAACAAGGTGGGATTCTGTCAGGGAATTTGGCAACAGTAGAAATACACAGAGTTATTAAAGACACTTACAAGTTCTTTTTTGTTGCAAGACAGTTGTATTTACAAGTATTTACAGGCAGGCATCTCAACAGCATGGCAGGAACTCTTTATACAAACGGACATAATGCATGGCAGCAAGTGGTGGAAGAGGAAGAGAAAGACACAAAGACACAGTCCACTTATATACATGTACATGGCATATTTTGTCCAATCAGAAGACAGATGACTTCATCCTTTGCACCTGGTCTTCTTCTGGTTTCAAGACATTGCATCATTTCCAGAGTGATTCAGCATTCTCACATCTGTGCACAATGGCAGCTCGTTAATGATGCACTTATACATGTTCAGGCCTATAAAATTTCTATATTCTGACAGATTCCCCAGCTATCAGGACAACCATCTTCTACCATTAGTTCCCATCAGGGCTTTCAAGAAAGTTGCACCTGAGAACTTCTAGTAAACCAGGCAGCAGCCCCTTTATTCTGAGTTGGGCTTGTCAGAAATTAAACTGCATCCTTTATCTTCCGCTTTGCCACAAGGGGTAGGGCAAGCAAGCACTGTTTTGAACCTGGTTATTTATTGGGGAAGTTGTGGAACAGAGACATACCAGAAGTCAAACAGGACTGAAAGCATTCAAATTCTTTTTTAAAAAACTGATTATACACTAAACAGAACATCCCACAAACTGAACAAACATTTTCAAATCTTTCTTTGTCACATATTAAGCCTGTTTTTTTTTTAAAGGTGATATCTCCTAACCTGAAACCCCTGATTTATTCATCTTGATCAATGGCAGCCCTGTAATTCATAATCCAGATTTTTGGAATTATAACTCTCCTCAGGTGTGACCATCATAGCCAATGAATACAGAGAAGGGGGTTATTAATCTAAATACCTGGAAGATGTCAGGCTGGAGAAAAGTGTTCTGCCCTGTAGGTGCTCCCAATTCCAAGGCCCTATGGCTTGCTTCTGAAAGCCAAAATGGACGCTACTAAATTGGGAAGTGGGCAGCATAATGGTCACTTAGGTTCCATGAAAGTAAATGGTGCACCTCGAGGAAAAAAATACTGCAACTTCTCATATACTGCATAACACCAGGGTCTGAAATCGTGACAAATTAGGAAAAAAGTCATTTTAGAACTGTAGTGGAAAAAACACTGAGGACAAAAGACAAATTCCATGCTAGGGATAATTAAATAGAGACACTGTGAAGGGCCCCCCCTGAAAGTTACAGCAGAACTAGGCTCTTTATTGAAGTCAACACAAACTTAAAAGGGCTCAAAACAGAATAGCCAATAGGCGCCAGACTCTCAGTCTTCTTATGGCTAAACATCCCCTTCAACCATTCTTAAGAGGGTGTTACTTCTGGGCCTGTTTGCTCTCCTCTGGATATATTCCAGCTTGTCCGCATCCATCCTGTTCAGAAGAACAGAAGAGCCATGGTGAATCTATCTAGTCCAGCATTCTGCCCACAGTGGCCACCTAACGGTCCAGAAGAAGCCCTCAATCACTTGAGTGCATAAGCACTTATCTGTTTTTGTTCGTTATCAAATGGAATGCAGAGACATACTATCATTACAAATGGATAGCCCAATTCTACATAAATTTCTCCAGTATGCCATTGCCACATCTTGTTGCAGGGAATTCCACTGTTTAACTATGGCCAATGTGAAGACACATGTTTTATGAATCATGTGCTTTTATTAATAATCATGGCTTTTATTCACTCTGGATGGGTAGACTTCCAGCACAGCCACACTTACGAGGCTCGTCTTCAAATGCTGGCAGCAACATTCATCCACAAATGTGTGTGCAGTCCTCCTCATTGGCTAGGCATGCTGGGGCCTGTAGTCCAATATATCTGGGTGGTCCCAGTTTTGGAGAAAACGACTCTGCTTACCATGGACTTCCAGAGAGATGAACAAGTGGTTACTAGATCAAATGAAGCCTGAACTATTTCTGGAGGTCAAAATGCTCAAAATTTTGAGCATTCTGGAGGTCAAAGTGCTCAAAATCCAGGCAGGATTCTCTGAGAAAGGCAGTAATGCTGGGAAAGGAGGAAGGCAGCAGGAAAAGAGGAAGACCACGCATGAGATAAGCTGACTCCCTAAAAGAAGCCACAGGCTTGAGTCTGCAGTTAGTTGCACAGCAGGACTGTTGTTGTTGTTTAGTCGCTTAGTCGTGTCCAGCTCTTCATGACCCCATGGACCAGAGCACATCAAGTCCTCCTGTCTTCCCCTGCCTCCCGGAGTTGAGTCAAATTGAGGACGGGTCCAGATCACATATATGTCACAAATATATGTGATTTGGAGAATTGTGGGGAATAGCTTTGTATTTACTATTTGTAATGTTAACCCCAAAAGAGGGAATAAACTCCGGCAAAGACAACAGACCACGGTGCACTACAACCAGCTGCTCTAAAGCCAATTTATTAGAATACACAGTTAGGGCCCTTCATCTTAAAAGCAGAGAAGAGCCCCGAAGAAAATCAGCATCAATGTTATATAGGATAATATACAAAGAGCCATATGAAAAAGTCTTATGATTGGTGCCTTTAACCCGCAGCTTTTGGATCCTCCATATTATTGGCCAAAGATGTTCCGTGAACCTAATCTATTGGTTCTTGTGGGATCTCCGCATTGAATCCCCGTGTCCCTTTGACCTAAAGGTCATAACATACCCCAAAAGAGTCAATGTGTCTACTCTGAATATGCCTTGGTTTCCCCTTATCTCTTTTGGTATGTTTATGTAGTGTTCTTGTGTCGCTTTTGGATCCTCCATATTATTGGCCAAAGATGTTCCGTGAACCTAATCTATTGGTTCTTGTGGGATCTCCGCATTGAATCCCCGTGTCCCTTTGACCTAAAGGTCATAACATACCCCAAAAGAGTCAATGTGTCTACTCTGAATATGCCTTGGTTTCCCCTTATCTCTTTTGGTATGTTTATGTAGTGTTCTTGTGTCTGTAATATGGTCGCTTGTCTTTTCATTCTTTAGAAATAAAAAAGTTAAAGGGAAAAAAAATTGAGGACGGGTCATTTTGGAGACCCTTCATTCACAGGATCGCCATAAGTCGGAGGCGACTTGAGGACACATCATCACAACAACCGCTCTGCGTACACCGACCACGATTCTTAGCTAGAGAAGGCGGAGGGGATGCATCTGTGAAGGGAAGAACCCGGCGGCCACCGATTCCGGTAATTAGATAATGTAATATCGCTCCTGAATCTGGCCAGCTGCCGGAGGAGGCAATCAGCCGCTCCTTCCTCCCTGCTTTGCGGGCCTGAGCGCAAGAAGCGATTCGCTGGCGGCGGCCCGCACCCCCTGACGTCAAGTTGCCAGCCAGCGTCAGGGCAACGCCGGCTTCAAAGCCAGCGGGAGAGACCCTGCGCGCCTCCACGGAGCCAGAGCCGGGCCGGTGGGAGCGCTGCGGATTCGGCTGCCGACCCTCCGCACGGTGTCCTCCTCGCCGCCGCCGCGTCCATCATGCGCTTCCCCGAGGTGCGCGCCCGAGCGCTGGCCCTCCTCCTGGTCGCGGCCGCCTTGAGTTGCGCGGATGCTGATACCAGCACCCCAGGTAACGAGTTCCGCTTCTTTTCCATCGCTCCGTTTTCTCAGGGATCGACTGGAAAGCCACCTGGTCCGCCAAACGGGGACGATGGTTGGGGGTCTCCTTCCGAGGCGACCAGTCGGTCACCTTGTGGCAAGGTCTCTTTTGCTCGGGCGAGGTGGGGGAGGTATTATGTATATATATTTCCCTGACCTCTGCGAGCGGTTATATGGTTTGGGGTGGGGTGCTGCTGCAAAGGATTGCTTTTTTTTTTACCTCCTCCTCTGCTTGCTTTGGGGTATTCGGAATCGCTTCCCCATCTCTGGCCGCCCCAGAAATCTGCAAGAATTTCCACCTCATGGTTACCTTCCCCCCCCCTGCTAGATCGCGCGAGTCGTGCTCCCATCCCCTCTCGAAAAGACGTACAGGGCGTGCGCCATAAATCCCCAAACTTTCTTTAACTACAAAAAGAATGATAACAATCCCCCAAACGGAAATATTTTATTTCCCCCCCCCCTTTGGGATAAAAATATTTATCTTTATGGTTTGCTAGGAAAAGAAGCGAGGATGCCAAAGGCAGGGCAATATGTAGTTTCTGTTGTTTGTTTTGGAGAATTGAAGATGCTACCCTGGAGGCACCATTTCCTCTGGAATGAGCTTCTCCGGACGAAGGCTCCTCTTGTTGGGAGTAACCTTTGTGTGCTTGGTTTGTGACCATTTGCAGCACGATCCTCATGTTTACTCCAGGGTACATCCTACGGTGCCCAGTGGGTCCAGGACTGAAGCATTAGGATCTAAGATGAACCCTCCCGCTTTTTTTTTAAATTTTCCATTTCATTGCCATCAAAGCAAAGGCTGGAATAAGATATGCTGAGGCTCTGTGTCTAGTGTAAAGCCCCTCTAGCTTTGCAAATAAGGTTGCCTTTTCTACATAATTGTTTAAAACGTGAAGTTTAGTTCCGAGCCCCATCCCCAGCGGATACCAATAAACGCGGAAGTATGGAACGCTATACTCTGCATAGTCTTTGGCGCCGGCTAGTGGCCAGTTCTGGTAAATACACCATGGAAATATGCATAAATACAGGTGTTTTGGGGCTTTTTAATTTAGTAATTTCAGGCAGCAGATAAGTGAATCAGCGAGTACTGATTCCACGGATAGGGGGTTCTGCTGTACTTATATGGCCTCTGTATAAATCTATCGCTATAGTGAGGAGAATGTGTAGTGCTTTAAGATGTTCAACTGGGACTTGGGAGATCTAGGTTTTTGTCTCCACTGAGCCTTAAAGCTAACGGGGTGCCTTTCGGCCCATCGGTCTTTCAAGTTATCCTACCCCATAGGGTTGTTGTATGGATAAAGTAGAGAGGAAGGAAAGGAGAACTTCAAAGGTAACTCAGAAGTAAATGTAACCCCATGGTTTTCAG